GAAACGATCTATCAATATAAATGCCATATGATGGTACATGAATAAAGCTTTGGCCTCGTCTCTGAAGGCCACTATCACACGCAATGATCACAAAGTCTTTCGGCTCACTCAACCGGGCATACTCCGACCTCATCAAGGTATGACCTATTAGAACCCTTATCGATTTATACTCTATGCCTAGGTAACATAGGTTTTTCCCAACCAACTGGTCTAGACTGTCAAGCAATATGCATGCCATGTTATAGTACATGAATGAGACTTTGGCCCCGTCTTTGAAGGCCACCATCACACACAAGGGTTACACAGCCCTCGGCTCACTCATCCGAGCATACTCCGACCTCATCAAGGGATAACCCATTAAAACCTTTATCAGTTTACTATATGCCTAGCTAACATGAGTTTTTTCCAACCGACTAGCCTAAACCATCAAGCACAGTCCAGTATCAGCAAACATTATTTACTTAGTATGGTCCACGAGGGACCACACTCCTACTGAGTTCATGTTCCACTATATCATTTCATTTTACAAGCACTCATAAGGCCTTTAAAGGCCACACCCACCCAACATTTCAAATATTAATAATTCTTGTTTGGATGTACAATACAAAATTTGTTGATTCCTTACAATCATTTTCATGTCCATTGTTTGGTAACAAAGTTTGATATAATTTATCTATCTAAAATTTTAATATACTTTCTCTCTCTAAAACTCAAAATTTTGGATAGTGTCTCTCTACAAATTTTGAGACAATTTCTCTCTCCAAATTGTGGTTTAGTTTCTCTCTATAAAAATTTAATGTATACTTTCTTTTTAAAATTTAAAATTTGAAATAGTTTCTCTCTCTAAAAATTTTGAGATAGTTTCTCCCTCTAAAAATTTTAGTACTTTATCAATCTAAAATTTAATACGGTTTTGCTCTCTAAAATTTTAAGGTATTTTATCTTTAAAACTTAAAATTTGAGATAGTTTCTCTCTCTAAAATTGGATATAATTCTTCTCTCTAAAATTTTAAAATACTTTTATCTTTCTAAACGTAAAACTTGAGATAGTCCTCTCTAAAAATTTTGAGATATTTCTCTCTAAAAAAAATTTAGTAGTTTCTCTCTAAAATTTAATATAGTTTCTCTCTCCAAAATATTAAGATACTTTATCTCTCTAAAACTTAAGACTTGAGATAGTTTCTCACTCTAAAATATTTGAGATATTTCTCTCTCTAAAAATTAATATGATTTCTTCTCTAAAAATTTGAGACTACTCTAAAAATTTTAAGGTATTTTTTCTCTCTAAAATTTAATAGAGTTTCTCTCTCTAAAAAATTTGACATAGTTTATCTCTCTAAAACTTTTAGGTCCTTTCACTCTCTAAAATTTGATATAGTTTCTCTAACATTTTGATATAGTTTCTCTCTCCAAAACTTAAAATTTGAGATAGATTCTCTCTCTAAAAAGTTTGATATAGTTTCTTTTTAAAAAAAATTAGGTACTCTCTCTCTAAAATTTGATATAATTTTTCATATCTGTCTCATACCAAATGTGCATAACATAATATTTACATGAAAATATTTTCATGCAGATATTTTCATTCCCTAATTTTTGGGTCGAGGGGCCAATAAGTGGAATCCATGGACCTTGGAAATCCAAAAGAACAGATTTTGGTGTGGAAATGAAATCGTAGAAAAGTTAGATGATTTTTCACGATTTTAATTTCCATGAAATTTTAATATCCTAGCCATTGAAAATACCATTAAGTAGATTTTGATAATATCCAAAATATTAAAAAATCCATGTTCCCAAACAAGCCCTTAGGCTCTATCTTCCACCACCTTGGCTTTTTCAGTTACCACAATGGTGCTCCTGTTCAGTAATGGTCCTACCATCATGACCCTTCTCAGCTTCCTCTAGCTAATTAGCCCTAAAACATACACACACACTGCTCATCACCAAATTGATCCTAAAGGGCCCTTGTGTCGATTGTTGGTTCTTCTTGCTCCGCCAACCCCTTGATTTGATTTTTTTTTTTTCTAATAACATTAATATTGAGGGATATTTGTGTAAAGTTCTCTTAAATCATCAGTGTTTCCTTTATACAATTCCTCTCAAGTACTTCTCAATTATTTTGGTAGAAAATATACAAATAATATTTCTATGTTTCGAACCTAAAAAGAGCAAAAAGAATTTTAGCATTTTGGCTCCGCTTAAATCGCCCTAGCCTAAAAGATTTTTTTATCATTGAAATTCGGGGCTTCCAACCCTAATTATATAGGGGTAGTTTCATCATTTGGCTCAAGGCCAACCAAGTCTTACCCCCTTGTTGAGGATAATGATCAAAGAAACATTTTTCTTATTGAAAATATTATTCTTGGTTCCTTACCCTGAACAAGGAGAAGTTGCTACATTTAGTTTAACTTTAGTGGCCTAAGCCAAATGAAAGTTCTACCCTTACTTGTTTCAAATTTAAATTCAAATTCAAATTTAAAAAAAAAAAACAAAAAACTAAAAACTAAAACAAAAAACAAAAACAAAAAACAAAAACAAAAAACAAAAACAAAAAAAAAAAACAGAAACAAAACGAATGTGCTATTTTCTTGAGAAAATCTGTTCCAAGTTCCAAAACATAAAGAAAAAGGGATAATTGTCATTTGACTTAATCTTACTTAAATGGCCCAATTCAAATCACAAATTTACCCCCTCTTATTTAGGAACAAGGAACATAATTCGTTTTCAATATAAAAAAAAAGTATTTTTCTTAAATCATGACCCTAAGGAAATTAAACCCCACTTATTTAGGAACAAGGAACATATCTCATTTTCGATGAAAAATCATTTTCTTGAATCATAACCCAAAGTATGGAAGGTACTTATATTATCTTGCTCAAGCCACTTAAGTGAAATCAAACTACCAAAATGTCTCCTTGTTCATATTAAAAAACCTAGATCATTGTACTTTGAGCATTTCTCAATAAAATACTTAACAAAAGAACTTGGTGAAACACATATTATAATAGTTGGCATGCAAGCAGGTTGGGGCAAAACTGGCCTAGCCCCAACTTGTGATCAAAGGGTGCTAACCCAGACCCGATCAGTTTCAAAAAATTCAAAACCCAAGGTGTGCCTGGCCTGACTTTATCAGAATTCCACCAAAAATATGGGTAGAATAATAAGAAGTATATAACCAAGATATAAGACTGTAAATAATCTATTTAGTCTATATAAAAGAAAAGTTTATATAAGGTTGCAACCTTAAAATGTAGAATTAAAATGCACATTGAAAATCCATCATAAAAGGTTGTTTTGATATTGGAAAACCCTCACATTGATCATTTTGACATCGAAATGTACAATTATGAAAAAATAAAAAGATTTCGCCCCAAAATAGTGCATCTTACAATATATTATCTGGACCGGCCATTTTTTAGATTTTCATATGTTCATAGATCTACTTGATTTGAAACATTTTTGCAGTTTAAAAATTTTATAATTAGAAATGAAAATAGATTCTCAAGCCACTTTTTATACCAAAATTACGTTTGTAATAAAATTTGAAGGCGCACTTTAATTTCATTGTTTAAGATTGCAACTTTACACAAATCACACCCTTACATAAGCTATTATGTAAATAATATATTTAGTTTATAAAATTATATTATAAAAATTATATAAAAAAAATTACATTATATAATATATATCACATTATGCACATTTTGCGTAACTTATAACAAGGGCCCGTCAGACCTTACTACTCAGGCCCAGGCTCCGCCCATTAAGAGGCCCACCCTACCCATACCAGGCCGATCCTGCCCATTAGGCCCACTTACACCCTTGTGACAAAGTAACCAGTCTGCTGCTAAACCATTGATTTATCCACCTCGAGAATTTTCTTTTTTTGGTGATTTATCCATTTTAGTGTTGTTCTCTCTTACTTTAAAAGATATTTTTAAACTTTTTAAAACTGAAAAATTTTATATAAAGTTGAGGCCCTAAACAATCAAACTAAAGTGCACCTCAAAAAACCTTTACAAGATCCCTCTTCTTGAAAAAATAGGACCATTTCTGAACTCAAATTAGGTCCACCCATTGTGTTGGCAGGTCAATCCCACAGGTTACCCACCCCTAACCCCTAATTTCTATCCATTCCTGAACTAAAGATGGATCCAACTGCTATCCAATTGCATACAATCACCTTATGAGCGTCAAAGGCTGCAATATTGAAGGACTGGTTGGTATTGTTTCATTATTGTGGAGCACATCTACCCAGAACCTCACTTGTCTACAAATGGATCGTGGGAAATATGCAACAGATGTAAGAATAAAAGCTATTAATAGCAATCTAACAATACAAAAATGATGAAAGATGTCCAAGAAAACAACTTGTCCAGAGTAAGATTCAAGAGTAACAACCGAGACTCAGAATAAAAAACATGAGTGGAGGATGCCATGAGGATGCAGGCACTTCGCGCCCCAAATTTATTATACACAGATTAAAGAACAGCCTCGAGTACTATTTGGGTCGCCTCCTATAGGGATAAAGTATGTCGTCGACATTATCTTTGATATAATTTCCCACTCTGTACAAGTTTCTGGCCACGCCTGATGACACTAGGCCTGCATTCCGTGTGAATCTACATATTCCACAATCATTAGCACTTCATATCAGCAGCTAAAAACAGTCTCTGTATAGTCAGCAATGTGAATAAAGAAATGATACTTGCCTACTCAAGAATTCATCACCGATGGTATTTGGCGGTCTATAGCTTCGAGGTTGGGGAAATGCCTGATCACCTGTGGAAAACATAAAGAAGAAAGCATCATATTCATCAAATACGGTTCAAATGTTTGAGATGCTTTTGTAGAAATCAACACAAGAACCTTTACAAGATAACACTCAAAACGATCAAAGGTCGTTACTCCAAAAGTAGTAGATGGGGCACCTCACTTACTCACGGGAAATAATTTGATGCAAACTGCATAATTACACCAGGAAAATTGAAAAATAAAATCTGGTCTGCACTTCATCAGGGTCAGCTGGTGAGTTAGCCGTAAGGTTGGTTGGTCAAAACTAGGAGAAGACTTGACTGTGAACAAGACTAGTTCCCGATGTCTCCCACATTCAAGACTCAAAAATGACCTTTGTATAGAAGGGCTCATTTTGCAAACTTTAAAACTGACAATGCCTTTGCCCCTTCATTTCCCAACAGGCACAGCAGACAACATAAAACTGATCCACAAAAACCTTATTACTCAAAATTAGCAAATGAATTTGCGCCAGTACGAATATCACTCCACTTATAACAGGCTCATATACAAGGGCCAGGTTATTACTCACATTCTTATTCAAACAGCATCGTCAATCTTTTCTTCTGCGTTTCTTAATGGATTGACCTAAACTAACAATTTTTAGTTCCATAACTTGCTGGTTTATGACAAGTTTCCACTTGGTAACTTTATAGAAACTATAACCATAAACTTCGAACAACAATTTTCAACCTTAAGCAATAATATGTAAGGTTCAAATTTTATTATTCGTAGAGTAAGGACTGAGCTTCGTTTGGTTTACGTTGAAGTTTATTTTCATGTAGAGCTCTCAATTTTTTCTAATCAAATCAGAAATTGGCCCACTGCAGACATTGGGACCCACCTACCATGTCCCTCTAATCTCTATCTAGCAACATCAACTCAAAACTGTAAGGTTGAAGGACCTCATCTGCTCAGGAGCATCTATGGTCATTGGTCCAAGACTTGTTTGGTGCTCTGGTTCTTCATGCCCTCAAGAAACCTCTCAGCTCAATCTGTCCTATAAATACAGATAATATCTAGTCATGGCTGAGTCAAACCCAAGTGGCCCATACCAACATGATGTGCAAGAATCAATCAACTTATTAAGGTTGATTATCTCAAATATTCCTCACATTCTATCAAGCCCCCCACATACACCGCAAGGAAAAGCACCAAGCACCACAGACCTCCCTTACTCTCCCTCTAAATAATTCTTTCAAAACATCTTCCTCAATGGCTGTGGAGTGTGTGCATATCTATATATCATATATATAATGTGAGCATGTATACTGGTGTCATCAACCACCTAAAGGGGAACCCAATTTGTGGCGTAATGAACCCAAACTCTTAACACTACTACCGTTTGTGTCAGATAAAGTTGAGGGGCACTCTTACTTGACAGCACCGACCCAATCAACTCCATCCATCCAACTCGATTTCTTGAACTGACATCAAAACACAGTTATTGTCCCTCTGCAATCCTTGACAAGCATGTTCCAGCTAGGGCTTTGAGATCCCTGAAGTTTTATGCAACGAGGACATCAATTGAGTCGAGAATTCAAGTTAGAATGATCGCATTATTAGCCATTAATGTTGGTAGAACTGATCCATCAATCTATCCTCGCAAATATGGATCCATCGACATCTTTGCAAGTGGGAGGATCAAGGAGCTAAGTGCTCAACCCAGACAAATGAAGCAGTGTTCCAAAACACGCTGGCCGGCGCCTAGGCGGCCGAAGGGGGTGTGGGCAACCGGGGGGTCCAGGCCGCCCAAAACCTGGCAGCCTAGATTCAAAAGGGGGCAAGGGTTGTCCAGCAATCCGGTTTTAGGTCCAGATTTTGTATCAAAAATGCATATTCATGCAATTTAAGAAAGGCTAAAATTCTGCGATGGCATCTTTATCATACTGCAGAGAGGTAGAGCATAGATTGGTATTCATTTCCTAATCTAGTACCACATAATATAGAGGGTGTAAACATTTTTCCTGAAGTTGATAGTGGCTAAAATTTGGACATTAAAGTAGGATTGCTTGCATGTGGAGGGAGACGCCCTTAACATCATCTAATGAAAAACATTGCACACCACTAAGTTCTTACAAGTTCTCAGCTGAAAAAGGATCTCATGATCCTTTTTAGTGTATCAACGATTTCATGTTTGGCGGAAAAATAATGGCAGCATTGCCTTGAGGATTTGCACAGAACGAACTCCATCAAAGAACCAATCCTAACTTGTCTTAACATCATTAACAAAATAAGTTCTACAAAAACACAAAAATAAGGAATCCCACAGACTTAATACAACTGTTAAGTAAAACATGGAGATGTATTCTAGCAAATAATAATAGTAAATTAAATATTTTCAGGAGTCAAATTATAGTTGTTGGAAATGCCTGTGGTTCCGAATCGTGTTAGGAATCAGAATCACAGAATTGGGGGCAGCCAAATGATTCCTAGAGTCGGCACTGCAGGTGAACAAATGATTCCTATAATCGGAATCACCGTCCGTAAATACATAACACATGAAGCAGGATTCCAACTATTTGGGAATCGCTCTCTGATCCAAACGGAATCAAGATTCCTACAATCGGAATGTATGACTGACATATATGCACTGCATATTGAAAATTCAAACATGTAAAGTTGGGCTATAAGTACCACTTACCTGGCTCATAGTTGAGGAATCTGTGGCTATATACTTCAATTGTATAGTGCAACACCACTGGGCTACGGCCCTTAAAGATTGCTTTTATGTGTCCCTTGTGCGTGTGACTGTGAGCTCTCTCTCTCTTGCACCGTGTGTGAAGGCTGGCTGACCCTTGGTTGTGCTAGGACTAAGGCTTGGCACCGCACAGGGTGCAGTAAGAAATTTGCCCCTGTGATAGTTGGTATCAAACCAAAAGGTTGGATGTCACCATGGCTAATGGCATAGTGATGTGCGAGATCATAGCGACCACCTCGAGCAGCTGTTGGAGCAACTCACCTAAGCGGTCCAGGATGGTGGTTTCGAGTAAAACCTTACTACCTTGGAAGCTTGGATCGGTGCTTTAGAGGCCAAGTTGGAGGAGTGCTGTGGTGCCTATGATGCTCATATGGGAGGGCTCATGTACAACCTCAAGGCCTTCACTCAGTCCTTCAAGGCCAACCTAGTGACCTTGTAGGAGGATATCGCTTGTCACAAGGGCCTTGTGCAACACCACGAGTGAGCTGCACGCTAGAACCATGAGCCATGTGGGGTTGACTAGGTGAAACCAACCCCTCTCATCAAGGAGCCAGGTGGTGTGGATTGAGGTAGTGGAGAAGGTGGGCACACCAACCACCAAAAGTGATGGGCAGTTATACCTTACTAGTACAAGATCGTGGGATAGGGGTTGATTGTGTGCAACCGACCGAGGGAGTGGGTGGCCAGATGGCCAACCCAGAGTGTGTGGTGGCCAAGCGGCCTCCATACGATTCATGGTGAAGGCATCACTGACATGTGTACTGTGTATTCAAAATTAAAATGTGTAAACGTGGCTCTCATAGTTGAGGAGTTCGTGGATCTATACTTTGGCAATTGTATAGTGGAATACCAGTGAGCTACGTCCCTCGAACATTGCTTTGTGTGTCCCTTGCACGTGTGATTGTCTCCTGCGTGGTGTGTGAAGGCTGGCTGAGACTTGTTGTGCTAGGACAACGGCCTGGTGCTGCATGGCGCGTTGTGAGATATTTATCCCCATGACAGTTTGCCAGACCCCTTTTTCCTAAGGCTCATGTGGTGCAGGCAGCCTGGTGTGTGTGGTTCAGCAGGTTGGTGTGTATGGTGCAAGCGGCATAGTGCATATGTGCAGGCTGAATGGGGCAGTTGGTGTGAGTGATGCAGGCCGACTGGTGCAGCCAAATGTTTGTGGTGCAAGCCAAGTAGTGTGTGTGGTGCATTGGTCCAACGGCACGAGTCAAGTAACCCCTTGCTGCATGAAGCAGCACATATGATACTTTTGGTAGGATTAGCTATCACTCACGGAGATCCAGTTTTCACACACATACCCACACATACACACAACACACATGCACACAGACACACATACGCACAAGCACACACGCGCGTGCACACATACACACAGAAAACCTCAATAGCATCCATCATTACTCCTCAGAAATCTACAATAACAAAGATTAAATAGAATTGTTTTTTTCTATAACTAAAAGTTATGATGGGTGTAATTGTCCAAAAGGTTTACACATGCTCCCTCAGCTCATATTTAGTATTATAATGTAGTGTGTACAAGTGTGTCTCCATATGTGAAGGTATGTATGTATGTATGCATGTGCAAGAGGGTCTGTATGTCCAACATTATGTACATGTGTGACATAAAAGTAGCTCGCTATAGAAATTTGAGAAATTGGAAGCAAAAACCCATTAAAAAAAAGAACAAATCATGAGACAATGCATATGCTAACTAATCCATGGAATGTAGTAGCAACTGGAAGGGAAAAAAAACAAAAAGAAAAGATAATTTGCCAACGAGGCACAAATTAAGCATGAATCCATAGCCAGAGAAACTTTGTTAAAATTAACTAGTTAAGAACATTAGATCACCAAAGTTCTGTTGTTCCCTACCTTCCTTGCTGCTGGAATTAGCACGAGCATGCTCAGTGCTCGGAGCCCTTTTGTCAACCAAGAGCTGCAATGGAAATGTGTGTGTAAGACTTCGTGGCAGTTAAGTTGAAGAGCAGTCAGCTAGTAGTATTCTATGTGAGAGAATTTTTACTAAGTAGATACCCTCATGTGCCTTGATTAAGGGAATAAACAGTACAAAGAAAGTTGTTGCATAAGAACCAAAAGAATTCAAAAGCGTATAATTTTGCAAAGATTTCTAATATGCATGGCAAGACGGTCCTTCCAAGCTACGTGGCAAAATAAATAATTTGACATCCAAAATCAGGGATGCCTTAATGTCTACATATTAACAACACAGCGCAGAGTTCTTCTGAGAATGAGACATGACATTTGACTTGCTAACAGTCTGCGAGGAAAAAATGTCTTGGAGTACAGAGAAACTAAGTTAGGTGGGACTATTAAGACCCTTATTCTCTGGCAGAGAACTTTCATTTGATTTACCTCAATGTATGGATCCAACAATCCCAGAGCTAGAAACATTGGTGGAGAATGGGTTGGTGGAGTGATCCTTGCGTCATAATTGATGACTCTAATGTTATCCAGTTCTCCCATGAAAGAAGAGCAGGCAAATCCCTGTCAGTATGAATGAACTCTCAATACGTTTGGGCCATTATTACTTCACGAACCTCATTTGATTGAAACCAGCTACACATGATCAAAGGCTCCAAGAGAGTAGGGACCCAATGATGTCCAAGCTGTATGGCCTTGCTATATCCTGCATTGAGAGAGCAGATTCACATAGGGATATATGGTTTCAGCGCATAAGTTACGCATCACTTGGAGACTATGTCATGTGACCATCTTCCTTTCCAATCTGAACTGCCTTGGCTCTTGAAGCCAGATTTCAGGAAACATTTTGAATGGTCAGGACAGTGTCAACATTCAGGATGGGCAGGATTTAGAATATGTAAATAATTGCAGATTACGATGACTCGATTGAATTAGTGGTGTCAAATCAGATCTCAGGAAAACAAAAACTAAAAAGAAGGATGCCTTTTAGGTGAGCTGGACCATAAGGAAGAATGCATGGGCCTCTCGGATAAGTGATGGGCAGCTGATAGCGAATCAAGCACGTACATAACCCATGTTAAAGCAAGAGGAAATTAGAAAGCAGCAGCAAGAGTGCCGTGGTTGAAGGACAGCGATCCATAAGGGTGTATTATGAACGAAGCAGCCATGCTATTGCCTCCTTAACATTGCTACTGTAAATCACTTCCAAAAGCTCCATTCTAATAATAAAGTACAAAAGAGAATAGATACCAAAAACAGTTCAATAACCATCACAATAGGTCAGATTTGAGTGAATCTGGCTTTCCTTGCACAAAAAATGTGACCTCAAAATCCTAGATAGGACTTGCTGGCACTATTCACAATATGTTTTTACTGTTCACGCCCCAAAAGCGTTACTAACCCTAACACCCCCAGCCCTTTTATTACATTATAATAAAAACAAGACCAGAACTACACGCAATGAAGTTAAAACATCATAAAAATACGCCAATAAGTCCCTTCAATTAAAAGAAAAATCATAATGACATTTTTACCCTGATAAAACAAGTAATAATTCCATAAGTATTCTAACCATTTTTCTAAACATCTCTTAAAATACTAAAAACATATAAAAATTCCTAAACTCCCTAAAAAGAACTTAAGACCCTAAAAATAGACCATAAAACTAAAATAAAAAGATAAATCCTTTCCAATTAAACAAATCGTTAAAATAAGAATAGTGTTTCCCTCCATCATTCTCCCCTGATTGGAGAAAACGTGTCCTCGAGTTTTGAAGCGTGCTAAGATGAATTTGTATTAGTCCTGCAACCGTCTTCAACTTGAATATTGTAAATACGATCCTGAGACTTATGGGTTATTGCACTAGTCAAAATACAATGGTTGCAAATTGAAACTAAGTCTCTGTAATCAGTTGATGTATCCATAAACACATTTGAGAACCCCTTGAGGAAAGGGTTATTATATGTTGATAGAATAACCGTGATATGTACATCGGTTCAATCACATTAACCAGCTGAAATTGCATCAGTACAGCCATTAAACCCTGCTGAAATGGCCTTAGTTCATCCCTAAAACAAACCAGGGGAGCATCTTCGAGATGATCATCTCCAACCCCTAGTTCACTAACCAAATCAGCAACTTCCGCTTCCAAATCTTCTTCGTCTTCATCTCTATCATTGTCATCTTCCTTGTTTTCACTTGGTTCTTCTTCAAAAATTGGATTGATACCTTCTACATCTGAACACTCATCAAAGCCCGGTGATGAGAAATCCTTTTGAAGGTGACGAGAAATTCTTCGGGTTAAACCAACCTGCCTCGTCTACTACTCGGGGTGTAATCATGCTGTGCTGGATCACCAATACCTCCCCATGATCACTATAGGTTACTTCCGGGTCCTCTTCATCAACCGGCTCAACATAGATGGGATCACGAATGCTTGTTGTCCTCATCATAGAACTCCTTAGAAAGGTTAATGAACTTGAGATTTGGACAATATAATGAGACATGCCCAATCCCTGAACACTCGTAGCATTTGATGTTGCTACCGGCACCCCGTTTAGGTCACCCGACTCATGAAACAACCCCTTTTTGGTCCAGGGCACCCTTGCTGGATGGGTGTTCCAGCCGTGCAAGATGTCGAACCAGTACCAATCATGCTGTCTTTTCTCCCAAAATCCTCACCATGGGCTGCTACCTATTTCCCCCATTACTCGTACTTGCACTCCACCTGTTTGAGGGTCATTTTTGCTGCGTTTCAACTCCCTTTGAAATGTTATACACCTCATTAAAGGTGCAATACCGCTGCAAAACTACCACATCTTGAATTGATTGGTGCAGTCCATTCATATACCTGGCGCAGTTTCATCATCCTAGCTCTTTTCTAGGGTTTCCGCTCTACGTGGACTAGTGTAACAGGAGCTAATGATTCCCATTAGAGAGTGGATAGAGAGAAAGATTGCACCACAGCAAATTCAATTTTTATCACAGCCGATCACTTAAGTTAAGCTACTATGGCCAACTTGGCTACTATAAGTTGAGCTACTATGCCCAACTTAGCTATGTACATCACTCTTCTAATGTTCACTTCAGTGGCGGCCAGAATGGAAGATTGCAAAGAGTTTCCATGCTGAGGCGTAACGAAGGCCAACATTTTCATTCGGCCATATGGAATGTGCCCCTATCTATGAAATCAAGTGCCCCATGATCAAAAAATTGATGCCAGCAAGGGATTGCAGAATGAGAGTTTTTGAGGGATGGGGGAGGAAGACGGTGGGTAGACACTGGAAATCAAGGGTACACATGGAGAGTACTTGGACAGGGGTAATGTCCCCTTTTAAGGGTTATCACCTCTTCGCCATATGGAGAAAGCAGAGGAAAGGGAGTGTGGAGGGTTCATTGGGGGGGTGAAAATTGAATTTTTCAAAGAGGACATGTTCGGTGCAGTAATTTGGGTCTAATAAAAAAGTGGGAGACAGACCCCAGAAGGATCAGGTCTAGGGGGCTTGGAGACACCAGTTCGGTGCGTGAGTTCCTTTGCAGGAATTTATTTTCCATCAAAATATAGAAGTAAGAAATCCAAAGCACTAAAAAAAGTAAACAACTCTTATTATGTATGGTAGTATAAATATTTATTTGAGTGGCGGTTAGAGATCACCAGCCAATAAATATGCTTCAGTTCAAAGCCAAGAAGGGTGTTTCTCCATTGAACAATTTATCGGAGTTACTATGCAGGAATTTATTTCCAAACAAAAGTTTGAAAAAAATGAAAGAAATCCAAAATATTAAGAAATAACATGAAGTTCAAAGACCAAGAAGTTGCTTCTTCCACACTTCACACTACCTTCCTTGCCTCTCAAGGTCATGACCATATTATCTAGTGCCCGGCCCCGTCAGGGTTTTCTCGGTTTCATCCTTTTATCACAACTTCTACAGCCACCAAGCCCTCCTCTCTCCCCCACATCCATTGTGGCCCAAGCATAGTCCTCCATTTCCACCAAAAATACAAATTCTTAATTGGATTGCCCTGCCAGAAAGGGTCCTCACACTGGACCAGCTTCAAAAGAGGGGCCTGCCCATTCACAACAGTTGCATGATGTGTTATGCTGATGAAGAAAGTAACGCTCACATTTTCCCTCCACCCTTTTCCCTGGCCCAAAGCTGGCATCCTTTTGTGGAAGGCATCAGTCACGACTATTCTTAGGATGATCTGTACCGAGAGAAACAGTAGGATTTCCATGGAGAAAGGTATTTGCCAGCATCTGTGATCGAAAGGATTAAGTCCCTGGTTATTTTCGGAGTGACCAACCACAAACACTTCAAAGGACTCCCCCATTAGGCTTTCTTTCAGGATTGGCAAGCTCAATGTTCAATAAGGCGGAGGCATCCGCCTAGGCGGTGAGGGGGCTGGGCCGCCTAAGCGATAAGGTGGGTGCCCAAACCCAAAAAAATTTTTATAAAATTGTCTATTTTATTATTTAATAAGTTTTTGTTTGTAATATATTGTTAAGTTGCCAGAAGAACAGATCAAACCTAAACATTTACAGCTTTAGATTGTAAATGAAATAAGTATAACTCAAAATGAACATTAAAAGATAAAATGAACTCGAGATGTCATTTAAATCTCACAAATCAAAAGTCACTCAAGAAAACACTTTGCCCATACAATTATTTAAAAAGCAATTAAGAATTACGCAATTATTAAACTAATTAATAAATAATAATCCAAGATTCCAAATAGACAATAACATATGAAATATATATGACAAAGTATCAAAGAAAAAATACAAATAGCAATAAATATTATTAGACATTAAAGGAAGAAAAATACAAAACCTAATTACAACTATTGAAATATACGAACCTTCTTGAAGTGGACTCAATTTCGGGCCAAACCAAAATGTTAGGGATCCCAAATCTCCTCTTTTACAACGCCTATAAGTCTCAAAAAGATTGGGGTTGAATATCCTTTAATAACGTGACCATTTGTGGATTTCG